CTCAGCCTGCCCACTGGCTCCTGTGTGAATGCACCTGCTGGGCAGGCTTACCCCTCCCATGACTTGCCAGACAGGGCTCTTCACCAGAAGTCGCTGTGGGGTCCCCCAGGGTCTCCTCTCCAGAGCAGCCCAGCACCTAGCCCATTTTCAGTAGAATCTGGCCTCCCCATCTCCGCTCAAGGTTCCATTTGTGCCCCCAGGTCTGCACACCCAGGGACCAAGGAGTGCTGGCCACCCCTGCCGGCTGTATCCACCCCCAGACCCGTGCCTGGGGACCCACTATGAGTACCTACCCCTCCCCGCAGGCCAGGATAGGGCTAGATGCCACCGCGACAGCCAGGTGGACCCTCGACAGGGAGCTGTGGGGTTGGTGGCTGAGTGACCTCAGGCCAGCTGACCTCAGTGACCCCTGTCAGACCCCCACAGACACACGTGAATACGCATGTGGGGACACGTGAGGGCAAACACAGGTATGTGTGGGGCACTCAGCTTGCTGTTCCGCAAAGTGAGGATGTCAAACAGACCTGTGTTCCTAGTCCTGCTGGATGTGTCACAATCCGCAGGTCAGAGGAGGCCAGGGCTGGAGTGGCCATGGGGACGTGTGTCTGTGTGGGCAGTGTGTATCCTTGCAGCTCTCTCTCACTGGCCTGAAGAAAGCCAAGGGGGTGGTGATCTGGGGAAGGAGCAAGTGCCTTGGGGGCGGGGGGTGGTGGTGGCGGGAGGCAGGTTTTATTCCCATTTCAGAGCTGAAGTGTCCCAGGATCCCTTCTCTGTTGAACTGTGGGGAGCCACTCGGGGCCGGAGACGTCCAGCAGCTGGCAGGATGCAGGGCCCCTGCTCTGGAGCCTGTGTCCCAGCAAGGGGAGACCAGCAGTGAATAGGGAAGTAAATAAGCAAGTCCCAGGCAGGGGTGCTGTTTGGATCAGGGGGGAGGGTGGCACTGTGGGGTGAGCTGTTGGCTGTAGGGTCAGAAGGCAGAGCGCCGTGGGGAGGGAACGGGGCACAGTGGCCCTGCAGCCAGAGGGACGGGGGTGGTGTGGGCAGGTGGATGGGGCCCCATCAGGCAAGGCCTGGCAGGTCCTGGGGGAGCCTGGGTTTTCCTCCACTTGTTGAAGAACGGATGTCATCCAGGGTCGTGGGCGGAGATGCTGGACTGGCAGGATCCCTTGACAGTGCTCCACGGCCCCTGTGGCTGTGCAGGGGAGAGAGGATGCTGGGCAGCAGGAGACGAGGTGGGAGCCGCGGGCATCGGCCCAGCAAGAGGTGGTGTGGCTTGGACCAGTGGGGCTGCAGTAGCAGGGGCCCGAACAAGATTCCAGAAACCCTGTGAGGTGCAGTGGATGCTTTTGCTTCTGGGCTGGGCATCAGGAGCAAGAGAATGGGGGGAAAGCAGAGCACGTTCAAGGGTGGCGCATCGATTTTGGGTTTGAGGAATGTGGTGCAGGTGGGCTCGAGCTCTGAGGGAGGCATCTGTGTGTCAGGGGGCTGGGCACACTGGGGGGCTTGAGACCCCCAACACCCCACTGGGAAAGTGAGCAGAGAAGTGCAGGCTGAGGTCAGAGCCTAGTCCCCGGGACTGTGGAGGGAACTGACGGGATAGGCAGCAGCTCGGACCAGGAGTGGGAGGTGCTCCAGGAAGGGGCTGCTGGTTACCTGGGCCAGGTATGCTGTGGGGCCAGGAGAAATAACACACACTATGCCCCTCGAGCTGGCAAGACAGGTTGCCGGTGACTGCTCGGAGGGCGCAGGGTGGTGCTGTGCTGGAGCGGCTGGAGCTGGAAAACTGCTGGCAGCCCTTTCAAGAAAATCAGCCACAATGGGGAGAAGGAGATGGGGCAGTGGCTGGAGGGTATTCTGGCCGAGCGGTTCCTGTGGAAGGTTCTGGAACTATGCTGTCCAGTAGGACAGCCACTAGTCACAGTCCTAATGCCCAGTAGCCACACGGGGCCAGGGCTCATCCTCTTGGACAGCCCCGCAAGCTGGCAGGGATGGTGTGGATGGAGAGACACTGATGCTGTGGGAGGAGGAGCTGGCAAAAGGATCCCAGGCCTGCAGGGGAGCGGGCAGCAGGTACGGGTGGGATGAGGGGCAGGTGAGGGTGGAGGCTGCTGGGGCACAGGCCTGTGTACCCCACCGGCCCAGCGCACATTCTGCAGGTGTCCTGGGTACAGTTGTGTAATGAGTGACCAGGTGCAGAGGACAGGTGGGTGTATGTGGAGAAATTAGAGGTAAAGGGGGCAGGGGCTAGTGTTGAAGCCACTTATAGATGAGTAATCGATGAACAAGTGGGGGGGCGGTCCTGGGGATGGCGTGTGATCCAAGCAGAACCCTTCTAGGGGACTCGGCCACTTCCCCGGGCAGGTGTTTCTTAAGACCCGTTGGACGGCATCCTGTCGCCCATACCCTGGGGTGTTAGCTCCTATGCTCAGGGAGCCTCCTGGAGGGTTGAGGCACCTGCTGGTGCTGACACCCAGCCCCCACCCCAACAGGAGGAGGATGGAGCCACTCACAGTGTGACCTTGGACAAAGCCTCAGTTTCTCATCTATAGAGTGCGTTGTGGAAGGAGAACCCTGGGGTCCCTCTGACGCCAGGTCCTGGGAGCTATCAAAGGGGCAGCGGGGACCAGCCAGCAGGGTCACACCCGACTCCTAGCATATCCCTCCACCTGAGGCCAGGTGAGGTGAGAGAAGAGTCCCATCCCCCACAGGCCTGGCTCCCCCGCAGCCCAGAAGTGAGAGCAAGACACCCGCCAGGCCAGAGGGAGCAGCGGGGTGGAGACATGCCCCGTCCTCAGGGCCAGGGTCCAGCACTGCCCCACTCAGTACACACAGGCCAGTCTGGTGGAGTCGAGACGGGTCCCTAGAACCATGTGCCACTCACAGGTGCCACATTCCTGGACCATCACACTGGGATGGGCGGTGCCCGCGGGAGCAGCGGTGAGGGCTGGGCTGGCGGGTCTCACAGATGCTGGCACACCACGTGTGCATGCTTCGACAGAGCCGTGTTCACTAGAGGTACATGTGTCCACATGCACTAACATGGTTCCCAACACGTGTCGATACCTATTCACCCTCGCACATGCAGACCTGGTGTGTGCACTCAGGACAGAGCCCAGCACACGTGTGCAAGCCCAGACGCCCACAAACCTGCATGTACTTGCAGCTCTGTGGAGCCCCCAGGTCAGCCCAGCAGCGGCACAGCCGCCACCACGGTGCCGAGTGGCCCTGGGAGGGGGGCAGGGAGACGCTGGTAGCTGGGGGCCCCTATCCCTCCTCCGCAGGCGCCTGCCTGTGATAAGGCTTCTTCAGGCCCTGTAATCCTCCTTAACTTGACTTTGGGTTATTTTGAGCAAGAGATTAAAGGTGATTACAATCAGCATTGCTGAGGCGCCACACTTCCTAGACAGGCCTGCTCCACGCACCTGCTTCCGGAGGCAGGAGCCAGACTGACCCACACTTCCCTCACCTGCCACCCTTTGCCTTAGAGGCACTTGCTCGTTGGGGGGAACGAGTCCCCTGGTGGAGGCGCCGGCCGTGCGGGCACATGGTGCAGGCAGGCAGGTGTTGCATGACGGTGATGCGCTCTGTGCTCCCCACAGGACACTGGATGGGCAGTCAGAAGCCAGGCCATGCAGGGACCCCAGCATCCCCCCAACAGGCTTCCTCCCTTGGGCGGGGAGGCGACCCAGTCCTGCCCCATCCTACCCTTGGAGCCACTTGCGAGTGGGCCCAGAGAGACCCAGTGCTTTGCGGGGCATCGCACAGCATCGGGGCCCACCCCGTCTGATCTCTGTCTGTCCCCTCTGCAAATCAGAAATAGACTCTTCCCTAGGAGCCAGATCAAAATGGTGCTCTATGAAGTTTCCAAAGGGGAAGAAAATCCATTTCACATCATTATATTTTGTTCCCTAATTTAAGCTGCCTCAGTACAGACTAGTTGCGAACGTCAATATCCGTGAAATACACTCAGCTGGCTGCCGGCCAGGCCACAGAGCAGTTACAGAGGCCGCTATAAATCCAAATATTAACAAGGAAACACACGCCGGTTCGTCTGTCCTGCGGGAGATCTACGAGGGGCAGAGGGTGGGTCCCGCAGACTGGAGGTCCTCCTGTAGCTGGGGCAGGCACCCTCGGGGAGCTGCGTCCAGCCACATCTCCCTGCCCACGGGGCTCCCTGGCTGGACACGGGCGGGGGAGGGGGCCCAGCCTGGGGATGCCCAGGGTCCAGCGGGGCGGCGGGCACCAGCACCTCACATCGTGTACTTGGGAGCTGGCTGGCAGGGCTGGGAGGGCTCGGTCCTCGCCTGAGCCTGGGCAGGGGCTTGGGGGGTGCCTGGGGGATTCCTGGCAGAGGTGCTCCTTCCTTCCAGGCCTTTCTGCCAGGATCTAGGCACTAGGGGTGGTGACAGCCTCCAGTCCCCAGGGACCATCCAGCTGGCTAATTTGGGGACATGAGGACCAGAGAGGAGTGATGTGCCCCTGGTGAGAGGGCTCAGGCCCAGAACCTAGCCGTCCTCGGTGCCCAGCTGCCTCCCTGCACCTCCCTGCAGAGGAGCCTGAGGCGACCGGACCCGAGGGCTCTGGAAGGATTTGCGTCCTGCCAGCTGAGGACCCTTGAGCTGGGGCTCAAAGCACCCTCTGCAGGCGGCCGTGAGTGCTCCCGGGAGAGGATGTCCTGTCTTCCATCACCTGAGGGGCCCTGAGCCAGGCACACAGTTCTTGGTTCCTGGAGCCACCATCACTTTGAGCTGGGCCAAGCAGTGAGGTTTTGTCCACTCCGAGAGGAACGGAGGTAGGGGCCAGGGAGGGCTTAGGACTGGGGCTTCTCTCCACTGTCCTTCCTCAAGCACAACCCGTACTGAGCACCTCAGTCACCCTGCTTCATCCCAGCATCCCACGGGCTCCCCGAATGCGCCTCCTTGTTTGACCGGGAAGCTCGGCTGGGCCTGGCGCGGGGCCACAGCATCTCCTGACTGCTTTCCTTTTCTGTCTTGCCACAGGACCACGGAGCTGGAGGCGCAAGGTGAAGCTGTCGGGACGCTCAGGCCGATGGGGGAGGAAGCCAGGGCCTCGACAGGACGCGGGCAGATGATCAGGGGCATCTGGCAGTGAGGGAGGCGGCCCGCTCCCAGCACCCGCGCCACGCCACCATGCGGTCTGGGACAGGACGCCCCTGAGAGTGCACGCACCCTCCCCTCCCACCCCTCGGTCCCTCTGGGGGCTGCCGCCCAGCCTCCCACCCAGTCCCCCTGGGCAGGCAAAGCGGGGTCTCCCGCAAAGGCGGTCCCCATGGCCAGGTGCCGGTGGGGCGTGCTGTGGGTGTGCATGGCGGCGGCCACCCTGCTGCACGCGGGCGGGCTGGCCCACGGCGACTGCTGGCTGATTGAGGGCGACAAGGGCTTCGTGTGGCTGGCCATCTGCAGCCAGAACCAGCCGCCGTATGAGGCCATCCCGCAGCAGATCAACAACACCATTGTGGACCTGCGGCTCAACGAGAACCGCATCCGCAGCGTGCAGTACGCCTCACTGAGCCGCTTCGGCAACCTCACGTACCTCAACCTCACCAAGAACGAGATCGCCTACATCGAGGACGGAGCCTTCTCGGGCCAGTTCAACCTGCAGGTGCTACAGCTGGGTTACAACCGGCTGCGCAACCTGACGGAGGGCGTGCTGCGTGGGCTGAGCAAGCTGGAGTACCTGTACCTGCAGGCCAACCTCATCGAGGTGGTCACGCCCAGCGCCTTCTGGGAGTGCCCCAACATCATCAACATCGACCTGTCCATGAACCGCATCCAGCGGCTGCACAGCGCCACCTTCGCCGGCCTGGCTAAGCTGTCCGTGTGCGAGCTCTACAGCAACCCATTCTACTGCTCGTGCGAGCTCCTGGGCTTCCTGCGCTGGCTGGCGGCCTTCACCAACGCCACGCAGACCTATGACCGCATGCAGTGCGAGTCGCCGCCGCTCTACTCCGGCTACTTCCTCCTGGGCCAGGGCCGCCACGGCCAGCGCAGCATCCTCAGCAAGCTGCAGTCCGTGTGCACCGACGGATCCTACGTGGCCGAGCCACACCCGGTGCCTGGACGTCTGCCCCCTGGCCGCTCGCCACCCCCGCCGCCACCGCCACCACCGCCAGAGCCCAGTGAGGCCCCGTGTGCTGATGACGAATGCTTCTCCGGCGACGGCACCACGCCACTGGTGGCACTGCCCACACTGGCCCCCCAGGCCGAGGCGCGGCCACTCATGAAGGTGAAGCAGCTGACCCAGAACTCCGCCACCATCATGGTGCAGCTGCCCAGCCCGTTCACCCGCATGTACACTCTGGAGCACTTCAACAACAGCCGCTCATCCACCGTGTCCAGGCTGACCAAGCCGCAGGAGGAGATCCGCCTCACCAACCTGTACACGCTCACCAACTACACCTACTGTGTGGTGTCCACCAGCTCCGGGCTGCACCACAACCACACCTGCCTTACCATCGGCCTGCCCAAGCCGCCCAGCCCGCCGGGCCCCGTGCCTAGCCCATCCACGGCCACCCACTACATCATGACCATCCTGGGGTGTCTCTTCGGCATGGTGCTGGTGCTCGGTGCCGTCTACTACTGCCTGCGCCGGCGGAGGCGCCAGGAGGAGAAGCACAAGAAGGCGGCTGCGGCCGGCAGCCTGAAGAAAACCATCATCGAGCTCAAGTACGGGCCCGAGATGGAGGCACCCGGCCTGGCCCCACTGTCCCAGGGCCCGCTGCTGGGCCCTGAGGCGGTGACCCGCATCCCATACTTGCCAGCGACCGCCAGCGAGGTGGAGCAGTACAAGCTGGTGGAGAGTGGCGAGACGCCCAAGGCCAGCAAGGGCAACTACATGGAGGTACGCACGGGTGACCAGGTGGAGCGCAGGGACTGCGAGCTGGGCCGGCCTGGCCCCGACAGCCAGAGCTCGGTGGCCGAAATCTCCACCATCGCCAAGGAGGTGGACAAGGTCAACCAGATCATCAACAACTGCATCGATGCGCTCAAGTCTGAGGCCACCTCCTTCCAGGGCGGCAAGTCTGGGGCCGTGTCCGCGGCCGAGCCGCAGCTGGTGCTGCTGTCGGAGCCGCTGGCCGGCAAGCACGGCTTCCTGTCCCCGGTCTACAAGGACGCCTTCGGCCACGGCCTGCAGCGGCACCATAGCGTGGAGGCGGCCACCGGACCACCGCGCGCCAGCACCTCGTCCAGCGGCTCCGTGCGCAGCCCGCGAGCCTTCCGCGCCGAGGCCACCGGCACGCACAAGGCCGCCGCCACTGAGGCCAAGTACATCGAAAAGAGCTCACCCGCGACCGACGCCATCCTCACTGTGACGCCCGCGGCCGCTGTGCTGCGGGCTGAGGCCGAGAAGGGCCGCCACTACGGCGAGCACCGGCACTCGTACCCCGGCTCCCACCCCGCCGAGCCGCCCGCGCCCCCCGCGCCCCCGCCCCATGATAGCCTGGGCGGCCGCAAGGCCTCCATCCTGGAGCCGCTGACCCGGCCGCGCCCCCGTGACCTGGCCTACTCACAGCTGTCCCCGCAGTACCACAACCTGAGCTACTCTTCCAGCCCCGAGTACACCTGCAGGGCCTCCCAGAGCATCTGGGAGCGCTTCAGACTGAGCCGCCGGCGGCACAAGGACGACGAGGAGTTCATGGCGGCCGGCCACGCCCTGCGCAAGAAGGTTCAGTTCGCCAAAGACGAGGACCTACACGACATCCTGGACTACTGGAAGGGCGTGTCGGCGCAGCACAAGTCCTGAGCCCGCGGCCGGCGCCTTCCCCGGAACTCGTGACGCCCACGGGACCAAAAAGGACACAAGACCCACTGCAGCTATTCGTAACCCAGAGACTCCCACGCAATGCCACACACACACACACACACACACACACACACGTGCACACATGCACAGAGAGACGCACGCACACGTGCATACACATGTGCCCACATGCACATGTGTGCACCCGTGCAGACGCACAGACATGCGCACATGCACATACACGTGCACACACAGACACAAACACGCTTATAGACATGCGTGTGCACACAGACATGCACACAGCCAGTGTGGAAGCCTGGGGCCCTCAGAGAGAGAGGGGAGGGGGCGACGCTGCCAGTCACAACACAAGATGAGCCGCGGCCTCCACACACACACACACACACACACACACACACACACACACCAGGGACTTGAGAAAACTGTGTCTGGGGTTGGGGGTGGGGGAGGGGACTTTTTTTTCATTATCTTTCCTCTATATTCTTCTCTGCCTTCTTTATCTTCCTCTCTGTCTTTATTTTCTTCCTTTTTTAAAAGAAAAAAATAATAAAAGTAAAGTTCTCTTAAAGACATAAAATACCAGATGTGGGAGGTGTGGCCACGTGGCCGCCGGGCTCCCCTCCACGATTGCCTCATCCTGGTTTGCTGTGGATTTTCTCCTCAGTCCATCACTTTGCTGCCAACTCTGGAGGCCACCAAAGAGGGGCAGAGCGAATGCAGGCAGTCCGGTGGCCCCCGGGACCTGCCTGGAGCCCTGCAGGGCGTGAGGGGCATGGGGAGGGCTGTGGCTGGAAGGGGCGTGGGCTGGGAGCATGTGCTCCATCCCCGTCCCTGCTGTACACTGTCGTCGTCTCATTGTACAGAAAAATATTTCTATATTTGCAATGTTTGCTGTAAAACGAGAAAGAGACTATGTCTACTAAAAAAAAAAAAATCTGCAAAGGGAAAAACCCAAATGCTTGTACTGGGTTTTTACTATGGGATTTAGAGAAAGATTTGGGGTGCTTTTATATGCTGTTTAGTGGTAGTTTTATTGATTTTGGCCTTGGGTTGGAGCTGGGGTTACAAATAGGGTCACCACTGAGCCCTCCTCCCGGAGAATAGGAGTGACCCCTGGAGACCACGAGCAGGGCGGTGAGGGGAGGGGGACCTGAGATTCTGCATCAGGCTGGAGCACATGTGGAGGCTGTGCAGACGGGGCAGGAGGGAGCTAGGGCCATGTGTCTGAGGTGCGTGTGCCCAGGCTGGAAGCCACGTGGGCGTGAGTGGACAGCCAGAAGTGACCGGTGACCGGGGTGGCTTTGCAGGTGAGTGGGAGCGAGCGGAAGAGGGTTGGAGGGTGAGTCAGCGTCGGGGTGAGCCAGCCTCTGAGCCCCGTAGCTGGACCCATGGACTGCTGCACACGCACCCCACCCTCCCTGGTGTGAGTGGGCGAGCGAGTCAAGTGCATGTATGAGCCACATCAGACTATTCACATGCCAAAGAAAAGTCCCTCTCCGTGGCTGGCGCCAGTGCTGCTTGCCACCGAGGCCACGGGCTCCCTCCTGCCTGACCCTCAGGAGCCAGAGCAGGGCCCTCGTGCCCAGCCCCAGCCCTGGGTCCCACAGAGCCACCTTCTCGCAGGGGGAGAGAGGGGAGCCTCCCTCTCCCAGCCCTGGGGCTGCTCTACCCCCATTTCCCCACCACCACTGGCCTGGCGACCCCAGGCCTTCCCTGCTCCTTCTTAAGGCACCTGCCCCACCCTCTCTGCCAAGCGCAAACCCAGACTAAACTAACAAAGACCCAATAAGGCATGAAGGGGTGATGCTGGAACTAGACCCCAGAGGCAATGGGGGCCCTGGGAGATATCAGGGCAGGGAGCAGAGATAGAAGAAGGTTTTCAGGGTCCGGCAGGTCAGCAGGAAAGGACGCAAGGCTGGGAACAGCCATGAGACCAGCAGCCTCTGCTTGTATACCTCCAGTGATAGGGAGGTCACCCCTCTCTAAATAGCTGTTTCTAGGTCCCTCCCTGAGATGGAGGGGAAACCAGTGGCTTCTCACAGGGCCTGGCTCTGATTCCCCTGCCTCAGGGGCCATACAGCACTGTGGACAGGGCCAGTCTGCCTCCCACCTGGTCCTGACCTCTGTGCTCAACGACCCCATTAGTGTTCTGCAAACGAGGCTCACGTGGAGTACATGACTAGGGTGGGTGGGCCCTGACTGGCCCTGCTCCAACTGGGCCCCTCCAAAGTGGGTTATCTCTGGGGACTCTGTAGGCCTCCTCCTTACTGCCTGCCCCCATAGGCCCCAGGCTGCCCCAGCCCTGGGTAGCTCCTCACTCTCTGCCAGGAGCCCTGGGAGGACAGCCCAGGGAAGCCTGGTGACTGGAGTGTGGGACCCGGGTAGTGGGGGCAGGAATGGACACAGAGTGGGGAGATCCGGAGAGGGGCCTGCCTGGCCCAAGATCATGGAGTAACGTGGGACAGTCCTGGCTGGGGGACAGAGTGGAGCCAGGCCTCAGCCAGCTGCTCGCTGTCACTGAGAAGATAAAATTGGCTATTTATAGGGAATTAGAAAACAACTGGCACAAAATGGAGGTGCGTGCCCTGGGCAGGTAGGGCAGCTGGCCAGACAGGGACAACGTCACCACCAAGAGCACTGCCACTGAGCAGGAGCCCAAGGGGAGGGGGCAGCCAAGAAGCCCATTCCAGAAGCTCAGACCGCCCCCCCCCAGGAACACCCAGGGCCAGACAGAGGTGGCCATATGTCCACTGCCAGGCCGATGCCAGGCCGATCCCCAGACGCATGTGTCACCATGCCCTTGTTTGAAAGAGGTCATAGTGGAGTTGACAAGATTAGACAGCATGGGAGGAGACACGTACTTATTAAGCACCTAATGTGTGCAGAGCTCAGTGCCAAGCACTGTTGGAGCCCAGAGAGAGATCCAACCCTGACCCCGGCCTTGAGGAGCTCATGGCCATCAAGGCACCCAACGCAGAGGCAGGTAACCCAACTCAGGGTGGCACGAGACCCAGGAAGCCCAATGAAGCATGGGAACCCCTGCATGGGAAGAACCTGGAAGGCTTCCTGAAAGGGGTGGTGTTTGGACTGGGTAAGAGAACCACAGTGAGGAAAGGGTGGAGGCTACCAAATCAAGAGAGCTCAGCATCCTTGTGGGCTCAGGACTGAGCTCTGAGTGCAGGATAAAGACCTGCAAGCTGAGCTCTGCCCTGTGTCTGGGATCAGGGCTTGGCGTCCCCGAGGCAGCCTCAAAGGGCAGCGCTTGGTCGGTCGGGTGATGGAGTTCAGAGGCCAAAACCGGAGGCTCAAGCCCAGGTTCTTTTTTTTTTTTTTTTAAGATTTTATTTATTCATTCATGAGAGACACAGAGAGAAAGAGAGGCAGAGACACAGGCAGAGGGAGAAGCAGGGTCCATGCAGGGAGCCCGTCGCAGGACTCAATTTCTGGACTCCAGGATCATGACCTGAGCCAAAGGGAGGCGCTTAACCGCCGAGCCACCCAGGTGTCTCACAAACCCAGGTTCTGCCTCTCATGACCGTGTGACCACACCAAGTCATCTGTGCATCCAGCAGGAATGCTGACACCTGCCCCTCCTCTACCATGCTGGGTCCCTGCAAAGGGCAAATGGCACATGGGGCCCTACTAGTCGCATACCAGTCCTCCCCAGGCACAACAGCGCTGCATCGCAAAGCAGCATTATTGCATCACACACCTGGGTGGTTGGCTAGGTGGTTCTGCTGACCGCGGTCAACTCACCTGTGGACCTGGGGGTGGCTGCTGGGGACAGGGTGGCAAATGACATGGACACAGGGAGGGCTGAAGAATTAGCTTCATCTGAGAACAGTGGCCAAGTGTGTGGCCAGTCACCATTGTTCTCCCTCACCAGGGCAGACCTCGGAGCAGAGACAGCAGCATGTCCAAGGCAGGTATTCCCGAGGTTCCATCCATTTTTCGTTCAACATACAATTACAGGGCGCCTACTGTGTACGACGTGCTAGATACGTCAATGAGACCTGTCCCCTCCTTTGAGAGTGAATCAGTCACAGTCCTAACAGGAAAGAGGTGACACTCCACAATAGAATAAATCAGGGGGTGTCTACAAAGGGACAATTTCTGGGGAGAGGGTGGAGGGGACCTGCACACGATACCAATAGCCACTATGGCAGCACAGGGTGGCCCATGGGGATGAAGGAGAAGCCAAGGGATGAAGACTTGTGCAGAGACCCGCCAGGGACCTGGGGAGGGGCCTCCAGTGGAGGACCACCAGCCTGAGGTGACACCGTGGGAGGGAGCAGGGGCATGTGTCCACCTCACCTTTCTCCTGTGCGGCTCCCCCTTGGCCAAGTGGCCAGGAAACCAGGATGCAGAGAGCCCAGGGATGGAGTCCATGCAGGTCTGCCATGGAGGGAGCAGGGAAGGATGCAGGGAAAGGAGGGGGTGAATGAGAGAGGTGACCACTGACCTGCCAGCCCAGCAGCAGTGACGAGGTGCCAGGGAGGACAGAGGAGACTGTCACTGCCCTCACGGTTGGGGGAGACTTCTCAGGGAAGCCAAGACTTCAAAGGACAAACAGGAGGTAGTCTCCGGACCTCATGCGTCCCTGAGGGACAGGAAGGTGCCGCTGGGGGTCAGCAGCTGGGGCTGGGGCCGCTGGGACCAGGCAGGTTGGCTGAGCCAGGATGGGATGGCATAAAGCAATGAGAGTCAGGCTGTGGGCAGTGGGGGACCATTGATGGCATTTTCTAGAATAACAACCTCTACTGATTTTTTTCTTATCTCAAAAGTAATCCTTTTATTACATAAACTTTAGAAAACAACCATAAAGAAGCAAAGAGCGATCACCATCTCGCCACCCCAAGATAAGCCACAGGTCACGGTTTGGTATGTGTCTTTCTAGTTCCTCTTCTCTACAAATGCAGCAGGCCCGGGGTTTGCACACCATCACCAATTGTGCTGAGAAGCATTCCCTTGCTTTCTGTACAGTGTGCCTCCCTCTGGAGCCTCTGTCCTCCTAGAGAGTGTAAAGGGAGGGCGTGGCTCAGAGAGATGGGAGCCATGCCAGGATGTTTGCAGGGTCTAGCAGAGACGATGATGTGTGCAGGAGAGAGGGATTGCCGATCGTGGTTCAGTAAGAAGGAATAAGGCTTATTGCTTAATGGGGTGGATGGTCTTCACTAGCACCATGGACAGTTCACCCATCTGCCAGGGGGAGGGGCGGTCCCCAAATGACGCGGGTGCGGGGGTTGAATATGGGGTGGGGGCTTGAGGGAGGTCTCCTTTGCTCACACCACACATCCATAGCACCTCTCCTCACTCCACTGCATGGCCTTCTTGTTTTACTTTTTGGGAGTTTTGTGGGTTTTTTTTTTTTTTGTATTTCAATTTTTCAATATGAAACAATTATAGGGCGATTGGAGGTAGTACATCGTCTCCCAGCTCCCCCACTCCCTGATGCTAAGCTCTAACTGTAGTACAGCATCAAAACCAGGAGGGTGTTTTGTCCATGGGTACGATTATGTCCACCAGGCTACAGATCCGGTTCTGTATTAATTCAGCATTAACCAGCTTTCTCATGCACTCATGTGCGTGTGTGGTCTGCAAATTTCTCCCGTTGTATATGGATTTGTGTAATCACCACCACGGTCAAGATACAGAACTACTCCTATAGTTCTCTCCCACAGGTGGCCTCCAACTCCATCCCTGTCCCCTGGCACCACTAATCTGTTCATTTCTGTCATTTTTAGAATGTTATATAAATGGGATCATACACTATGTAACCGTTGGATATTGGTTCTTTCACTGAGCATAAGGCCTTTGAGATCCATCCAGTTCACGCATGTATTTGGTATGTTCCTTCTTATTGCTGAGTAGTATTCCATTGTAT